AGACATCTCTCTGCAAATAAACTAGAAAATCCAGAAGAAATGGATAAATTTTTGGACACATATACCCTCACAAGACTAACCCAGGAAGAAGTTGAATCTCTGAATAAACTGATAACAAGCTCTGAAATAGCGGCAGTAATTAATAGCCTACCAACCAAAAACAGCCCAGGACCAGAAAAATTCACAGCTGAATTCTTCCAGATATAGAAAGAGGAACTGGTACTATTCCTTCTAAAACTATTCCAAATAATTGAAGAGGAGGGAATTTTCCTAACTCATTTTATGAAGGCAGCATCATCCTGATACCAAAACCAGGAAGAGATACAACAAATAAAGAAAATTTCAGGCCAGCATCCCTAATAAACATCAACGTGAAAATCCTCAAAAAAGTACAGGCAAACCAAATCCAGTAGCACATTAAAAAACCTATCCAGCATGATCAAGTCAACTTCATCCCTAGATACAAGGTTGTTTCAACATATGCAAATCAATACACCTAACCCATCACCTAAACAGAACCAATGACAAAAACTATATGATTACCCCAAAAGATATAGAAAAGGCCTTTGAAACTCTCAATAAACTAAGAATTGATGGAACATATCTCAAAATAATAAGAGCTGTTTATGATAAACCCACAGCCAATATTATACTGAATGGGCAAAAGCAGGAAGCATACACTTTGAAAACCAATGCAAGACAAGGATGCCCTCTCTCACTACTCCTATTCAACATAGTATTGGAAGTTTTGCAATCAGGCAAGAGAAAGAAATAAAGGGTATTCAAACAGGAAGAGAGAAAGACAAGTTGTCTCTGTGTGCAGACGACATGATTTTATATTTAGAAAACTCCATCATCTCAGCCCAAAAACTTCTTGAACTGATAAGCAACTTCAGCAAAGTCTCAGGATACAAAATCAATGTGCAAAAATCACAAGCATTCCTTTACACCAACAGTAGGCAAGCAGAGAGCCAAATCATGAGTAACTCCCATTCACAATTGCTACAAAGAGAATAAAATACCTAGGAATACAACATACAAGGGATGTGAAGGACCTCTTCAAGGAGCACTACAAGCCACTGCTCAAAGAAATAAGAGAAATGCCAAATAAGAGAGAAAACAAACAAATGGAAAAGCATTCCATCCTCATGGATAGGAAGAATCAATATCATAAAAATGGCTATACTGCTCAAAGTAATTTATAGATTCAATGCTATTCCCATAAAACCACCATTGACATTCTCCACACATTTAGAGAAAAACTATTTTAAATTTTATATGAAATCAAAGAAGACCCTGTATAGCCAAGACAATCTTAAGCAAAAAGAACAAAGCTGAAAGCATCATGCTATCTGACTTCAAACTATACTACAAAGCTACAGAAACCAAAACAGCATGGTACTGGTACCAAAACACACATAGACCAGCAGAGCATAACAGAAACCTGAGAAATAACACCACACATCTACAACCATCTGATCATCAACAAAACTGACAAAAACAAGCAAGGGGGGAAAAATCTCCTATTCATTAAATGGTGCTGGGAAAACTGGCTAGCCCTATGCAGAAAACTGAAACTGGACCCCTTCCTCACACTTTATACAAAAATTAACTCCAGATGGATTAAAGACTTAAATGTAAAACCCAAAACCATAAAAACTCTAAAAGAAAACCTAGGCAATACCACTCAGGATATAGGCACAGGCAAGGACTTCATGACAAAAACGCCAAAAGCAATTGCAACAAAAGCCAAAATTGACAAATGGGATATAATTAAACTAAAGAGCTTCTACACAGCAAAAGAAACAAGCATCAGAGTAAACAGGCAACCTACAGAATGGGAGAAAACTTTTGCAATCTACCCTTCTAACAAAGATCTAATATCCAGAATTTTCAAAGAACTTAAATATATTTACAAGAAATAACCCCATCAAAACGTGGGAAAATGATGTGAACAGACACTTCTTAAGACATTTATGCAGCCAAGAAACATGAAAAAAAGCTCAAAATCATTGATTATCAGAGAAATGCAATTCAAAACCACAATGAGTTACCACCTGATGCCAGTCAGAATGACGATTATTAAAAAGTCAGGAAATAATAGTTCTGGCAAGGCTATGGAGAAATAGGAACACCTTTGCACTATTGGTGGAAGTGTAAATTAGTTCAACCATGAAATATCATTTGACCCAGCAATCCCATTACCCTGATATATACCCAAAGAAATACAAATCATTCTACTATAAAGACACATGCACACATATGTTTATTGCAGTTATTAACTATTAACAATAGCAAAGACATGAAACTAACCCAACTACCCATCAGTAATAGACTGGATAGACTGGTACATATACATTATGGAATACTATGCAACCATAAAAAGGAGTGAGATCATGTCCTTTGTAGGGACATGGATGAAACTGGAAGCCATCATCCTCAGCAAACTAACACAGGAACCGAAAACCAAACACATGTTCTCATTCATAAGTGGGAGATGAACATTAAGAACATATAGATAGAGAGGATAACAACACACACCAGGGCCTGTTGAAGGGTATGGGGCTGAGGAGAGAGAACTTAGAGGATGGGTCAATAGGTGCAGCAAACCACCATGGCACGCATATACCTATGTAATAAACCTGCATGTTCTACACATGTATCCCATTTTTTAAAAAAGAAATAAGAAAAAAAATACTTTCTGAATTTGCAACATTTTTTTAATAAATAGCCCCAGTTGAGAGAGGTGGGTTCAGTCTTTAGAAATAGCCAAAAGAATATGGAGTCACATTTAGAAAACCCAGAAAAAAAGAAAAAAAAAAAAACTATGAGTAATCCCATTTGTAGGACAAAATTCATTAAATTACTTATAAATGCTTTACATGAATAACAGTATACTATGAAGGAGTTACCTAAAGAGGAATTTCAAAAATATCACATGCCCCATTATTAACCGACATCTTCAAAGATAACCATTTGGCGGGAAGTGTCTTCCTTTGCATGCTAAGTATGTCTGGGCAATTGGAAAGGTGGGTCTGAAGCACAGGGGAGAAGTCAGGTTTAGAAATATGCATTTGCCTGAAATATGCATATAGGAGTTAGGTCATGACATAATGTATGAAACTGCCCATAATAAGAATTCAAAGGCAGAGAGAAGAGACTGTGGACAGCGTTCTGGAAGAGCCAGCTTAGACGGACAGAGACCTCAATGTCAGTGAGAGATCCAGGAAAAAATGAGAGGTACAGAGGAAGTGAGAGAATAGAGATTCGCTGACCGTGCTAGACACTGAAAAGAGAAGCATTTGGAGAAAGAAAAGGTGGTCCCAACCTGTGTGTGGAAGAACTGGGTGAGAGCGGAGGAGAAAGGAGCATGGAGTAGAGCCAGTAGCCTGTGATGGATAAGCACACCAAGAATTTTTACAGCTCAAAATGCAAAGGTACCACCTGCAGTGCATATTTACAATTTTCCAAATTTATATAACCTCTTTGAGATTACTGTTTCATTAACTAGATTAGGCTTGAAATTTCTTTTGGTTGCCTTTCAAGACCAAATTTACCCCACAAATGCTAGACATGCTCTTAGGAGGATAGGCAAATGAATGTACTCCAGGTTTCAAAGCACTGCATACAAGTCATAGTGCCTGTCACAGTTCACCCCGCGTATGAATTTACGAACTTATTTATCCAATTGACAGTGCAACTCTTCAAGCACCGGAACCCTTTTCTTCAGCAACTAGCAAATTTTAGGACCTTTGCTAGGGTCCCAAAGTTTCTTGATGTAACTAAAATAATCAAGGGCCAGGAGTTTATAGTCAGACTCCAAACATCTATATGCATCTCACAGTTTACCTGGATACTTAGCTTTCATATGTGCAGTATATGTGTCTCCCTTCTCAAATTTTCAACCTTCCCTCCTTCAAAAATATATTAATGCTTACTATATGCCAAATGCTCTGCTCGAAATTATATGTCTTCCTGAACATTTTGTCAGAATGTTTAACACTTGTTTATGTGACTTTAGTGACACCTGAGCTTTCACTACCAAGGGAAGCATGCAACAGTAAGCTAGCATTTACCTTTTATAAGTTTTTGAAAGTTTTTTTTTTTGGAAAATAACAGCTTTAGTGAGGCATAGTTTATACGTTATACAATTATGACTTTAACAATTGTAGACTTCAAAAGTCTACAATTTAAGAGTGCTCACTTTAGAAGTTTAAAGTCTATAATTCAGTAGTTTTTGATATATTCACAGGGTTAAGCAACCATGGCCACTCTCTAATTTCAATCACCCTCAAAGGAAACCTTATACCCATTATTAGTCATTTCTCAATCTTTCCCTTTCCTTAGCCTCTAGCCACCACTAGCTTGCTTTCCATCTCATGATTTGCCTATTCTGGACATGTCATGTAAGTGGACTCATACAATGTGTAATCTTTTGTTGTCTGGCTTCTTTCACTTGGCAGATTTTCAAGTTTCATTCATGTTGCAACATATATCACTATCTCATTCTTTTTTAAGAGTGAATAATATTTCATTGTAGGTATATACCACATTTTGTTTACCCATTCATCCGTTGATATAAATTTCAGTTGTTTTCATGCCTTCGGTATTATGAATAATGCTGCTATGAACTTTTATGTATATGACTGTTTGTATGGACATGTTTTTCCTTCAACTTGGGTATATATTTTGGAGTAAAATTTCTGGGTCATATAGTAACTTTATGTTAAAGTTTTTGAGGAACTGCCAAGTTGTTTTCCAAAGAAGATGTACCATTTAACATTTCCATTAGCAATGCATGAGGATTTAAAAGTTTCAGTTTTAACTCAATGTATGCTCCAACAAAAACAAGCCATACATTTATTAATTTGGTATTTACACATTAAATCTCATTATCCTGATAACTATTTGCATTTTCTACAGCACAAGACACGAGATACTTTCTCTTTACTGTGACATTGAGATGATACTCCATTGAATTCCTATTTCATTTATTCTAGCCAAGGAGAGATGACAGAAGCAATTAAATACTTGGAAAAAGTAGTGAAAATTGCAAGAAACAATTTTCAAAGCCTAGATTTTGTGAGAGCAAGTACAATGCTTGGGGACATCTACAATCAAAAAGTGAGTCTATGCGTTTCTTGTTTATAGGGAAATTTACAATGTTTAGGGAGAAATTTGCAGTTTTAAAAGTCTCATGTCATCCTTGTCTTCCCACAATGTATTACGCAGAATGGCCAGGAATTGCAGGATTTAGTTAATGCTCTAGGGAAGGACTGGGAGGAGAAATGCCTCCTCCTCCTCCTTCTCTTCTTCCAATACCTTAGGGCCATATGGGGACAGTACTTATGAGGTGCTCACCCTGATTCATACATTCATATTCAGTGAGGATTCTAAGTGACATTGGATTTGAGGAGCAATTAAAATATTTAATTCAAAGGAAATTGATTGTAACTGTTGGCTATTATCTGCTTTCACTGACATTCATTTCTCTCACTCCAAATTCTTTATTAATCCAGCTGTGGCATCCCTGCTAGCTTCCTTAGAAAAAGAAGTGACAATTCTAAAAATAATTTTGCAGACAATTTAGAGTGAAATTTGAGCAACAGGTTGATTACCTGAGAGAAAACAGAAAGAAGGAAAAAAAAGTCCAAAATAAAATTATCGAGTTCAAGAAGCTGTATCATATACTGGTCACAGTGGACTTTGGTCATATTTTTTCTGATTTTTATTGCATATTCTCCTTTAGAAATGATGTGAAAGAGTTTTGTTTCTCTAATTATTATTGCTGTTTCGATCATGAATAAGATATGTCATTTTTTAGGGTAATTATGTTTACATATTTTCTGTTAATCCACTTTCTGTATGTGTATTATAGACTTTCTGTTAATCGCTTTGATAGGCTGAGTATGTAGTGAATAAAATCACTAATTCCGAAACCGAACTGCTTGGGTTAAAAACCCAGCTCTTTCACTTATAAGTTCTGTGACCTGGGGCTAGTTACTTAAATTTCTAGGTGTCTCAATTTTCTCAGCCCATAAAGTTGTTGTGAGTATTAAATTAATAGATGACAATCACTTAGAATAGTGCTTGACAGCAGAAGTATCATCTTTGTACACTTCTGTTGTCCTGCACCCTGAGTGGCATCAAACAATTCCCCTTTGCCAGACCCTCAGATGATTCTGGGTGGCAATGGCACTCAAACCCGTTCTCCTAACCAGTGCAGTATTCTGTCGTTCACCATAAAATTAACTTTATTTCAGGAGGATTTCGCATTTTTTAAGGAAATCAAATTTGAAATTAATTGAATGAGTGAAACTAATATTTTAATCCCTGATGTGGGGAAAGTCTCTCATTTTCTTTCTCTCTTTCATCCCCTCTCTTCTGGACTCATTTGCCTTCTCTGTCTCCTATTACTTGATATCCGAAAAGCCCCCTTTTCTTCTCACCCTCCTTCTCCCCACCTTCCTTTCTCACCTTGCTCCCTTCTCTCCTGCACCCTTTCTTCTCCTGTCTCCTCTTTGCTCTCTGACCCCCAGGTCGTCCTCTGCCTCTCTCCCATCTCCATCACTTTGTTTCCCCTCTTTTTTGAGGCCTCCCCTGTCTGTTGCCCTAGTTGTGCTCAGGTTTTGCCTGTCGTGTGCTTCCTCTGCTACCCTCTGGCTCCCCACCCATTTCTTTGCCTTTATTGACTCCTCTCTCTTTGATTTTGTATTTGCTTTTGTTTGCTTTTCAGGATACAGTGGTGAAAAAAAGACAAGACCTAAACCTTTGTGAGGCTCACAGTCTAAATGAGAGTGCTTCTCCTATAGCATAGGAGAAAAGACATAGTCTATGAATATATGCAATATGATACAGTGTATGAATCAACTTGTATATTTAAAGACACATATATTTGAAGATAGTGCAAATACCCAGAATCCTCCAAATTTTACATTAGAGAAGGGATAAACTGATAAACTTTAACTTCTGGCAGTTGACATGGCTTTTGGATATTAATTTCTTGTATCTTACCTTCAGATATTAAATTCTTCTCCAAGAATCAAACATCAGATAATCAAATACACACTGGTGAAATATAAATTTTTGGTGAAAACATTAAGAAAATGCAAGTATAAAAATATTGCCCCTCAAAAAAAGTTTGTTTTCCTTATGCTTTCTGTTATTAGGAAAATATAGGTTAGCAACGTTCATGTTATACAGAAGGTCTGGGTTTGGGTATTGTTGGAGGTAGGGTAAAATGTTGTTGGCACAATCTCTGCTCACTGCAACCTCTACCTTCCCAGTTGAGACGATTCTCCTGCCTCAGCCTCACGAGTAGCTGGGACTACAGTCACGTGCCACCATACCCAGCTAATTTTTTTGTATTTTAATAGAGACTGGATTTCACCATGTTGGCCAGGATGGTCTCGATCTCTTGACCCTCAATCCTCCCATCTCAGCCTCCCAAAGTGCTAGGATTACAGGTGTGAGCCACCACACCCGCCCTGAAGAACTTTCCTTTTAAAAGCTCAGATCTCTCCCTTCAATTCCAAATTCACACCCAACCACCTACTTGACATCTTCACTTAGATTGCTTCAACTATAATGTACTAAAAACTGAACTTATCGTTCTTTTCTCTAAATTTTATTCTTCTAACAACATAAATCTCAACCACATTAGAATATTATTTAGTCATTTTCCAGACAATCTTCTGTTTTTACTCTACGAGCTCCTTTTATCTTCCTCATCCAGGCCATGGCGTTTAAATACTATCCACATGCCAATGATTTCCAGATTTGTATCTCCACTCCTGATCTCTCCTCGGACCCCAAACTTGTAAAGGCAATTGCTTCCTTAGCACCTCCACCTGGATTTCTAAGACATCCAAATGGAACCTGCTCCTCTCTAGTCTTCCCCATCTTAGTAAATTATCCATCCATCCAGTCACTTAAGCCAAAAATCTGGAAATCCTTCGGTTCTTTCAAGTCTTCTCTCCCCCAGCTCCCTATTCAATCCAAAAGCAAACTCTGACCTTTATGCTACCAAAATATATCTCAAATCCACCCACTTCCCTCTGTACAACTGTCACATCAGTTGTATGTGACAGTTGGCCTTGGCCTCCCAGAGTGCTGGATTACAGGTGTGAGCCACCATACCTGGCCTCTATTTTGTTTTTGTATAATATTTTAAGATTCTGAAAACTTGTCCTGAATCTTTAAAAGCAAACTCAATATTTTCTGGCTTCATATTACTCATGAAATGTAATTGTATTCTTAACAATTTTCAAGCAAAAAATACTATTATAAAACTAAAGTTGTAATAATTGGAAAAATATTGGCATTACCTTGTCCATAATTATTATAATAGTTATAATTAGAATAACACATCTTAAAAATATCCTGTATTTTAGTTAGTTACCTTTTACTATGTAATCATGGAAAATGGACCATTCATCCTACCCTCTGGGTCTTTTGATGGTCTGTTAATTGAAAATATATAATTAGTGTAAAGTGGCCAAATGAGAATGTTTTAGAGGAAATAACTAAGTTTATAAGATTTCTCATTCCTTAATAAAATCATAGAATAATGACACAGCTAAAATAATGCTGTTTCCAACACTAAAATTATAGGGAAAATGGGTAGGAAATGATTTATCCTTACTACTGAGAAAAATGCTCATTTATTTGGAGCTTGCTCATTGAATAGAGTGACATTTTAGACACTAAAAATCAGATAATTCATAAAAATTCTATGTTATAATGTCATAATTCAAGCCTTATTTCAAGGTTTATGATGTCATCAAGATCTTGTTCTGGAATCGTCTAAATGCTTATCGGGGATATTAGTAACATTAAATGAAGTTGTTCTCTTCTCATAGGATTAATTTAGGAAGCATATATTCTCAAACTCATATTTAAGATTGCCAAGACTAATTACTAGAATCTTCTGGATTTTATAATAGAATAGGGATTATCTGATAACAGAAATAATCAGTAGAAAGTTGTACTTAATCTGTGGAGAATAGATTTAGACAGTAAGCTCTTTAAGAATTAAACATTCGAAAACACAATATACATTAGAGAAATCTCATTCTAAAATGGTATGTATAGAAATGCTTGCAGCTTAAAAGAATTAATGTTGTATTTCTTTAGTAGTATTTTAAACTAGAGAAATTAGAAAAACTGGTAGGTTTATATCTATTTAATGGCAGTTGTGTGTGTATCTAAAGATGGAATACTAAGTACAGTTTGAGGGAAGAATAATTAACTAATTATAAAGCTCCTATTTCAAGGGCAAAAAGGCACTTAAATAAGATCTAATCAAAATTTTAGTAATATTAATACTTCCACTTAATAGTAAGCTCAAAAACTTGAGTGGAAACTCCATTTACTGCTACCTCTCCATGGCTTGGCATTTGGCCTATCTCAGAGTGGTTGCCAAACGAAAGAAAGAATGAATGAATGAGTTAATTATAGCTTAATAACGTATAAAAATAACTTTGGAAATTCATATATATGTCCACTTATTTGTGGTCTCTAATATTTCTAATTAAGACTTTTACCTAAAACAATAAATAATTGAAATCTCAGAAATATAGTTAGAATAACAATTAGATATTTATACTTTTGTTTCTAAAAAATGGTAATGTTTGGCCTACTCTTATGTATTCATATATTTTGTCCTATGTCTTTGATATCTACCAGGACAATCTATAATTTTAATGACTTTTATTTTCATCATCTTCAATATTTGTATTATTTCTCAATTATAGTTTATTTCATTGGCATACAAATATCTTTGATATAGTTTTATGTTTTCCTAATTAACTTTTTCTTGTATAAATTTTATGTTTGATTCTTTGAAGAAAGAAAGAATGGTTCACCTCAACAAACAAAAGTTATTTTTGATGTAATATAGAGGGACTCTGTTTAAATTAACATAGTTGGTTGGAATGAATCATTTGAATAAACGGTTCACCTAAACTGTCCTTGGGGGAATATAACATAGTGTTATATGTGCTGTTCCTATATGTAACAAAATTGTCACATAAGTCCTATTTCTCCCTCTCCTCACCTTGCCAGCAATTTCTTTATTCAATCAGTTTGACTAATGTTGGAGCCTCATTATACAGAGGTGTGCA